CAATGGCCATATGTTTAACATTGGCCATTTTTTAGATATTGGTTTAAAATCTTAGTTACCAGAATTTGATCTTAGAAAGATGGTTTATAATAAATTGAAATTAATAGGCAGTAATTCTTTGGTCGTAACTTGGCCCTCTTTATTCGAATGTTTATTATCTGATTTAGGTTATTCAATTGCTTATTATATTCAATTTCCTGATAAAAAACATTTTCTAGCTGAACTTTTCCAGTCATTAAAAGATAAATACTTGGCTCAAGATATTCTTTATATTGAGCAAAAGTGTAGTTTTTTTGAAACTTCTCTGTCTTTCCCATGGACACCTCAAGATTATCTGTTATCAAATTTAAATTATAAGATTAAATCTTTAATAATACAATTATGACTTAATAACTATACTATTGTATTAAATGGGCATAGAATTAATATATTGGCTTACTCCAATTGTCCTTTATGTAACAGGATTATTGAAAATGTTAAAAATCATTTGTTTGTATCTTGTGAACACACTGAACACTTAAAGGATATTTTTTTGACAACTGATTTTAATATGTTTTGTTTATACGATGATAACTTAAGTTCTGTGATGTTATATGAAATTTATAAATTTTTCTGTTATTCATTAAACATGTTAACATAATTTTACTAATTTAATTTATATCAATTGTTATCTATTTATAATTACGTAAAATAATGCTTGTATTNTCAATAAAAGCATGCAAATAATATAATACGCAATCAATCAATCGTTTATTTGTTATGGCTTTCACCTTTAGGAAGGGGTTATAGAACTCTTAGCAGCATTATTAATACAAACATTGTTTAACATATCAATTGTTATCTATTTATAATTACGTAAAATAATGCTTGTATTAATAGTACTGCTAAGAGTTCTATAACCCCCTTTGTAAAGGCAAAAGCCATAACAAATAAACAATTGATTGATTGATTTAAATATAAAATATGATTCATAATTAATTCAAGTACAGTGGTGCCTCGCATAATGTACTTAATTTGTTTCAGGTGCATGTCCGTTAAGTGAAAAGTCCATTATACGAAACACATTTTTCCATAGAAATACATGTTAAAACATATAATTTGTTCCACAGCATAAAATAACCATACTGTACCATTAAAAAATGAAAATGGAGCAGTCACCAATTATGCCGGGTAGTCAGATGTTGTGAGGAGGAGGTGGAGGAACACTTTCTTCACACATTCATATAGATACAGACTTTTTACACATTGCAGCAAGTCTCTTTTTATTGTTTTTTAATCGGAGTTAGATTCAGGAGAGGCTACCGGAGCTTGCAGGGTCAACTTCTCTTGTTCCATCCTTTGTTTTTTTGCCCGCTGGCTTCTTGAAAAACATGTCCAAGGTGGTCTGTTTCTCTCTCTTCTTCAACACCTATCGGAAATGATGGGCAAGTGTGTCATCGCAGATAGAGATCATTGATCCTGTTGGCCTCAGCTCTGTTTGGATAATGAGTGTTGGTAAACTCCTGAACCTCTCCCCATTCTACAAGAAAGTTTTTGTCAACTTTCACTCCTTCTGATGATTTCTTGCTTTATTCCAATTGAAATCACCTTTCTGTTTTTTAAGAAGCCATGATTTGCACAACACTTTAATAAATGTAAATACCCTGCACTGAAGTGATGTACATAATAAACAAGGGAGCAAGCCGAATCCCAACGGGAGCTCTGTACTTCAGATATACTAATAATATATTCTAATAATACTAATATATTATAAAAATATCAGATTGTCATTGGCAACAGTAAAAGCATGAAAACATCATTCTCACTTGTTTGCAGAAAGTTTGTTGTTTGCCTCAGGTAACTACCAAATGGAAAGTCCGTTGTTTGCAGCAGTCCGTTGTTCGAGTCATGTAACTGCCAAACAGAAAGTCCATTGTTTGCAGCATCTGTTATTCGAGGCGTACGTTATATGAGGCACCACTGTACTGTTAAAATATTATTTCAAGTCGAGAAAATAAATATCAGTATTGATAATAAAACTTTAAATTATTTGCTTGTGAGTGGTTGATAAACAATTCTAGTATTGATGATAACTAGTATTGATGATAAATAGGGTTTCTCAAACGGGATTCCGGGATCCCGGTTGTTTTTTTAACCCGCGAAATATCCCGGGAAATTTTTCTTATCCCGGGAAATCCCGCAAATTTCTTAAAAATTCACTTTTTTTCTTATTTTGTGTTAAGGTTGGGGAGTTTTGCANATAAATAATTTGTAATCTTAATTTAATCTTGAAAAATTAATTTTATGATCAAAGTGGTCCAAACCACTACTGCTTACAGCAAATGCTGCAGAATAGATTGATACTGACTTATGAGAGCCAACAAATTTGAAAAAAGCAATGGTGTGTAAAGAAAGGCAATCATGTCATAAAATTACATCAGCACATAGACTAGACAGAGCCAACAATTAAAGCTTCAAATAAGTACAACTGTTTAAACCAGTGTTTCTCAACCTCTAATGAATCATTGCCCTCTTAAATGTAGTATCGCCCCCTTCACTACAAAATTCTGATGCCAAGGGACAGGCTAACGCCAAATTCATACTGCATTGAATAGACTAGTGACTAATGTAATGTTATTTGTTTAATTATTGTACAAATTAACAAATAAAATATCTAATTATTCTTAATATAATGTTTTACTATATCACTCAGAAAATTGTTTTTCGACCCCCAAAATATAAATTGTTACTAATCGCCCCCTCAACATGGAAAAATGCCCACATGGGGGCGATATTGCCCTCATTGAGAAACACTGGTTTAAACCAACAGAAACAACACACTTATCATTCACAGTTGAATTTAAGGTAGATATAGTCATAGAAACCTGAGCAAAATGAGTGTGTGACCGCAGGGTCACACACTCATTTTGCTCAGGTGTCACACACTCATTTTGCAGGGTCACACACTCATTTTGCTCAGTGGTGTCATCCTGACAGGGCACCAAAGAGGTGCCCTCTTTGGTGCCCTGTCAGGATGACACCACTGTGTCCCTTAACGGACACAGAAAAAATTTATTGGCCGTTTATTTTGTTACGCGAACGGTCACGTTTGTGGACTTTTTCCAGGATGGAGGCGTCACGAGAGAATCAGAGGGATTACACTATACATCACCTATACATAATGCCCGTTTATTGTTCATACTATATACAATTGCAATAGCTATATACAATCGCAATAGCTATATACAATCGGTTTAATGAACATATCTAATTTTTGCCCAGTTACCCATATTCCTGAGAGAGAGAGCTCACATATATTTCGCGCGAGGATAAATACCTTGGTTTGAATTGTTGATTAGTGACTTCACAAAGTTCTTTCGAACGTTGAAACGTTTTTTCCAGTAGCACAAAGTTCTTTCTAACGTTGTCGGGCGTAGTCCTTTCGAACAGCGGCGATTAGATGAGTTCCGGGTAGTGGCTAATCCGTTCACGTAAATTGCACAGTGCACCAATTTCCAGAGACTCACTCTTATGTATTGACCCCTCCTTTTTATAAAGGGGGTCTCGTTGAGTTTTTTCCACTGCCTTATTAGGACTGTTTTTTCACCACTGACCAATAGTCTTTTTCGAGATCTCGGGTGACACATTCGATGTATCATACTTGACAAGGAACTAAATTCGTGGGAAAAGATTTTTATGTTCTTTTTTTATATCAGTTTAAAATTTATTTCTTTACACTTTTCCTCCCTCAACAAAAATTTATTTAATGAATTTATTCCCTAAATTCGACTCTCACAAGAGGTAATCTTGAGACAATGGTTAAATGCAAAATTATAATCTGTAAAAATCTGAGCTCCAGTATTGGCAAGTGCCAAATCCGACAGAGGGCGCTGTTTTTGAGCCAAGATGGCTGCTGAAACAGGTAAGGAACCGACCACGTGTTTGTTTAGTGCCTGAGCCGATTCAGTTTCTATCAGTGACGACTACTGCAAAGACCAAATAGAGAACAAATCATTGAATTTATGTCAAATTCTAGACTATATCAGCGACAGGAAACATTGTCTTGTATAAGGTGAAGCCGTTTTGGATATATAAGACGTACACACAGAAAACATAATGTGTGCTAAAAACTTTTGACTGGCCTATGTTGTAAGTGCTGAATGACTCAGCAGGACAGCCTTCAGATTGGCACTAATTTTAACTATTATGATAAATAAAACTATGTTTTTATATTGGAACACGGTGTATACTGCTTAAAATATTTAAATACTTCTCACCTGTTAACGTGTAATAAACATGCTATCACATGTTTATTACATGTTAACAGCCCCGCTTTGCACGTGCATTCTCCCTGTAATTGAGATTTATTAAAATGCCAATATCTGAGATTGCAACACTAAAGCAACAACATGAACTTTGGTGTTGTTGTTAGAGTTTAATCCACAAAGTACGATGTGTCCAGCATCTGGCTTCACCTTCTACAAGACAACATTTCCTGTCACTGATATAGTCTAGAATTTGACATTCTAGGGCTCTATAGGAGCTTTCTATCCAATCAGCAAGCTAGGCTGGGCTTACCAGACCACATGACCACTAAACAAATTACGAGAGGTTGCCCCCAAGGGTCGAGTTCTGGCCCCCTTCTTTGGTTAATACTGTACAACAGCTTATTATGCATACAAGACAAGACACATGGAAATTTGAGAGCTAAGATAATAGGGTTTGCCGATGACACCCTCGTACTATTGTCCCATAGGAACCAGGAGATTCTTCAAAGAGAGATTAACCAGTTCCTCCAGATGATACAAGACTGGACTATTGAAAATAAACTTATCATCAATACTAAAAAATGCCAATGTGCAGTGTTCCCGAGAGTGAACCCACTCTACAATAAGCCGAGGATTACAATACAGGATGAAAAGATTAAGTGCACCGATAAAATAAGTTACTTAGGGCTTCAAGTAGATTGTCTAATGAATTGGACGTTGCACATAGAATACATAAAACAAAAAGCCATCATTATGGCTCATGCACTGAGATCCATTAGCAGGAACCTTTGGGGTCTGAGTTACCAAAGCTCTTCACTCATTTACCACTGTGCAATAGAACCAGCAGTCCTGTATGGGGCTGAGATTTGGGGGTATGCAACAAGAAAACAACAAATTAGAAGGAAATTACTCGCCATTCAACGAAGCTGTCTCATCACAGTGTGCAGGGCCTATCGCACGGCCCCAACTAGCGGGCTGCAAGTGATTGCAAATTCTGTCCCCCTTGACCTTAAAGCCTCGGAAAGGTATTGGGACTTCCAACTTAGGCATTTCTCTGATCAGCTGGCCATATCTGAGACCACCCCTACCCAAGTGAAAGACATTGCAGTCAAAATCCACAACCATGGATCTGATAGATTCAGCGACTACTACCTATTGCACCCGGCCACTGATCCCCCAGATGTGGTACTTTGCACAGATGAAAACAAAAACATAGCTACAAAGTTTTACACAGATGGGTCAAAAGGCCTAATGGGGGTGGGTGCAGCTTTTGTAGAAATAGATTGTAACAATAGGGTGGTTCATCAAGCCTATTACAAACTAGGACCCTTCTGTACGATAAATCAGGCAGAGAGTCTGGCCATCCTCAAATCCCTGGAGCATATTCAGAGAACAATCAATAACAGGACCAAAGAAGAAATAACAATTATTAGCGATAGCAGGGTGGCTCTTCACCAAATAAAAGCAATGAACACTAAATTCAAGCTAATAAAAGATATCATCCACATGGTGTCTAATCTGAAAAGTAATCACATCAAAGTACACTTTCATTGGACAAAAGGGCATTCTGGAGAAATAGGTAACGACAAAGCAGACTTTCTGGCAAAGAAAGCTATAAGTCATTTAAATGATCCAACCTTCTCGCTTGTTCCCTATAAATGGGTAAAGAACCAGCTCAAAGAATTCACAATCAACAGGTGGCAAGAGAGGTGGGCCACGGAGATGACAGGCAGAGTGACCTTCAACTTTTTCCCGGACGTCAAAGGGAGGGATAAATTGAGCCACTTCAATCCTGATTTTCATATTACCCAATATATTACTGGTCATGATGGCTTCAAACAATATCTCAACAGGTTCCTAAACAAAGTGACCAGTATTTGTGAATGCCAGGAAGAAGATGAAACTCCAGAACACATTTTGTTTACCTGTGTCAAGCACGTCACTCATCGCAAGCAGCTCAAGCATGTAATGTATCAATATTCTCAGGAGTTCCACTGGCCCTGTCGAAGTTAGGACTTCCTTACTAACAACATTACAACAACTGCCTTCAAGACATTCATTCTCAAAACAGGGAACACTTTTCCCAACTTTACCTCAGGGATCACCGCAAGCCAAGATGGTCTCCCTTCTCCAGTGACAACAAACTAGCCGGCAAATATTTTATGTTTGTGCTCATCGCAACCTTTGTGTTTGTGCTCATCGCAACCTGCCTCAGCAATGCAATCAGCCTGGATAGCCTGGCAAGGTTGTACGGTTAACTTTCTTTCTTTTATACGCGCTAGCCTAGTGGTTCAGGCCACTTGTCACTCTTTTGTTCCCCTGGACCAGTATAACTAATACTAGGTCTTCAGCGTCCCCCCAAGCTGGGGTTCATGTTATGTTATATTATGTTTTGTTCATTCTAAATTGTCATATACATTTGTATTCGCTAAGTTCGGTTGTTCGGTTAACTTTCTTTCTTTTATACGTGCAAGCCTAGTGGTTCAGGCTACTTGTCCCTCTTTTGTTCCCCTGGACCAGTATAACTAATACTAGGTCTTCAGGGTCTCCCCAAGCTGGGGTTCATGTTATGTTATGTTATGTTTTGTTCGTTCTAAACTGTCATGTACATTTGTATTCGCTAAGTCGCGAGTTGTCTACTGTGATCTTTGTTTAATCCGCGATCTGTTGTACTCTACAAATTGGAGCAGTTTCATTGTTTTTCTTCAGGCATGTACCTACATTTTGTATTACATTCATTTGTGTTCCAATAAACGGTGCAGGGTGCTGGATGCTCACAAATCTCTTCACACTTTCCTATCATACTTACCCCATCTTCCCCTCCCCCCTCTCTTATCCTCTTCTCACTTCTCTTCTAAGGCTAAGCCTCTGGTACGGCCTTCTTAACTTTTACAGAGAGAGTCATCACAGATAGAAACTGAATTGGCTCAGGCACTGAACAAACATGTGGTCGGTTCCTTACCTGTTTTGGCAACCATCTTGGCTCAAAAACAGTGCCCTCTGTTGGATTTGGGCTTGCCAATACACTAGGGCTTTGATTAAGATATGGTTTAGCTGTATATCTACTATAGTTCTGGACAAAGGCTAGAGTGATTTGTTGCCAATTACAGCAGTCCTAGTTCGTTTACTCTCCCTCATTTTACATACTGTAAAAAAGTGATCCTTTCTTTTTATATCTGTTACAATTTTTGTTCTGAGCAGCTATTGGAAAGGTGATTCACATAACCACAATGAAGACACTTCCATTCAAGTGGCAGCTAACGTGTGTGGGGTTGAAGTAATATCTGAGATTGTTTAGATTGTCTTTTTTAGGTTCTTTTTGAGTGGAAATCCTAATAGCATTTACTGTACTGGTATTGGAGACAAAGGTTTCCAACTGGATACGAACAGAATCTAAAGCATGGGCACGTGACAAGGCTTCCTTGAGTTTTAAAGTATAACTTTCTAAAAGATGTTGAATCTGAGGGAATAACAACCCAGCAATAAAAGTAGTGTGTACATATTCAATTTTATACTCTTCAGCAGAGACAGAAAATAAGTTTCAGTCCTTGTTTAATTCCCTGAGGTTCTGATAATATAGGTCAACTTGAAGATAAGCCCAGTGTTACTTGGACAAAAGTAACAACAAACATCAAGATTATTAGATTATTTCGTACTTCTAATCATTCTATTATATTATATTAAAGTATTTGATTTATATAACTACAAAGTTTACCTTATGTAAGGGTTTATCACACCAAGTGACCAATCTAACACATTTTTAAAATTCTTTATTCCTCTACTGTACACAATTTAAAGAATCTTAAAAATGTGTTAATTGGACACTTGGTGTGATAAACCCTTACATAAGATAACCTTTGTAGTTAATATATCTTATAGTATTTGATTTATGTGTGTTATAATATGTAACAAACATTAAAATGAAAACCATATGAAGGATTATTGGACAATACATCATAAGGCCCCCTCTCAATGTTTATGTGGTTCACAGAAGGCGATTTAATTTCTTTCGATCGATATTTAGATCTCAACAGAAAGAAAATTAAATACGTAGTTTTTAAAATCACTGGTATAGTTTTAATATGGCCCTGGGAGAATCGCCAGAATTTTTTAACTTGTAAAGGGGTCGCGTATTCAAGAAGGTTGAAAAACACTGCTTTAATACATAGGAAGGATTTGTTTCACTGCAAAGTCTATGGAGAACCTTTTCCATTTGATTGGACGATAAATTTATTACACTCCTTTCTGAAGGCAAAGTATGTCCAAAAAGGAACCACCATTTATTTATCTCGTGTTCCTGACTACACACTTTCTTGGCGACTGGCCTTTCTTTTTAGGCTACTGATCGCCAGAAGCAGTGACGGCCTTAGGGGGTGGCGAGCAGGGCAATCGCCCGGGGCCTCGCGCAACAACCAAGTAGAAAAAAGTTGATATTTAAAACTTTTTATTTTATCCTTGGCTATTAGTTATAACAATAAAATAAATTTAATTTATAGTACAGTATAAATTAATATTAATAAGTGCCTACTATTTCAATTCACATACTTTGCACAAAGGACAAGGGCCTCGCAAAGATCTGCCGCCCGGAGCCTCGCAATGGATAAGGCCGCCGCTGGCCAGAAGTTAAAGTCCTTTTAAAAACACAAAAAATAAAAACTTAATTTGCCATTCGGACGAAAATTTACAAAAAAATTACACTCCTTTTAAGCTCTGATTAGCGCTTTCTGGCTTGAAAGACTTGGCTTTATTCAATAAAAGTAACGGAGAATCTCACTCCTGGGAAAATTGCCACCAAAACCACGCCCCCTTCGACTATACCAATCAGAATCTAGAATGTAAACAAATGCTAAAAAATCACTATTTTTTGTTATTTGACGCTATTTAGACGAATAAGCAAGTTTTTCGAAGCTTAAAATTGAAAATCTCCCGCCAAAATAGAAACTGCCTGATAACACCGGAAATGACGTTATAACATCACTTTTGTAAGACCGCCGATTGGGGGGAATTTTATTCCCTACCGTCGGGATAGCTCTAAGATCTATGCGTATGTGGGTGGCGGTTTTAAGAGTCAGAAAAAGACAAGTGTTTCACAGAGAAACCGTTTATTTTTGTCGAAAATGCTTACATATTTCTTTAGCAAAGATCCTTAAATTCAGAATGTTGGGTTGTCTTCGGAAGTTGTTTTCGGATTCAATCTGGTCCTACGCTGGAGGGGTCCCGTGACAGCGTCGAGTGAAAAGTTCGTAATCTCTTCAGTGACAGCACACGAATGATGAAAGGAAGCACTACAGCTGGAGACAAACGAACACAACAGGTAGTCTAGTGCAGTGTTTTTCAAACTTCTTAAATACGTTACGTAAATTAATTAGCCAGAATTTTTTAACAAGTTAAAAAATTCTGGCGATCCCCAAACTTCTTAAATACGTTACGTAAATTAATTAGCCAGAATTTTTTAACAAGTTAAAAAATTCTGGCGATCCCCAAACTTCTTAAATACGTTACGTAAATTAATTAGCCAGAATTTTTTAACAAGTTAAAAAATTCTGGCGATCCCCCAGGGCCATATTAAAACTATATCAGTGATTTTAAAAACTACGTATTTAATTTTCTTTCTGTTGAGACCTAAATATCGATCGAAAAACCAATTGTACTGTAAAATAAACAGGCACAGCCTTCTCACTGAAATTGTGGGTTTTTTTATTGTAGTGTAGGACCTACAAACACTTGTCTTTTTCTTTTACCCGCGACCCCCGTGTAAAATTTTGCGACCCCCTAGGGGTCGCGATCCACAAGTTGGAAAACACTGGTCTAATGGAAACTTCTGTCCTTGAAATCGGTGTTTTTATAAGTTTTTTGAGATCGACTTGTTGCTAATTGGACAGACTTTACCTCATCGCTTTCTAATTGGTCTTCCACCCGTCTCCAGGTGTAAATGGAGCTTCGGATAGTTCGCGGGAAAGGTCGGCTGGAGATGGTTTATCCGACACCATCTTTTAGACTCTGATCATGTTTAATCGTTGACTATGACACCTATGCTCATTTAGATATTTTTTTGGTTTCGTTTTGCTTTCTAAAACTGCTTCTTAACTTTTAAATTTTCTTTTTCTATATCTAAAATTTTGTTTTTCCCTCTACACTTTATGAGCGTCGATGTCAAAGTCCGATGTCGCCGATTCGACACTTATATAATTTATTTCTCTCGACATTTATTTTTCGGGGGGTTATTTCCGAGACCTCACACTTCTCTATTTGATTCTTCTAAAAATCGTTATAATACTATGTATTAGATTTAAAATATTTGATATATAAACCAGAAAGTTGTTAGCTAGAAATAGAGGAACTTCAACCGATCCCATTTCTCACGTCAAGGAGTCATAAAACAGTTGGATGCTAATGACTTTGTGAAAGGGAAAAAGTTCCATACTTAGAAACTTAGAACTTGTTTGGGAGAGAAAAACTTATCTAGCTAACATATAAAAAGAAAATCGATTCAATTTAATACAAATTTTTTTGCGTAGTACGTAGCGAAGTGAGTTTCGCGGGAAAAATTTTACGGCTAAATGTTTCAGATAAAACATTAATGGCTTTATTAAATAGTCAATCAACATAAAAATTAGAAAATTCAGAGTTAAAAAACAGAAAATATAGCTACTTTAGTTCGTTTGTTTACAAGCGCACTTTGATGAAAGAGCTCCAGTGAGTAAACAACCAATTATTTCCATAGACTAAATAAAAACTAAAAATAGAAAAAATTTTTTCGCACCAAATTTTTTAATTATTACGTTGGATCAAGAAAAGTAATAGTTGAAATAGAGTCATACGACTAAAAGGAAGCCGGTTGCACTAAAAAGTTTTGAATTTAATAATTATTTCAAATTGCGTCAAGCCATAAACTTCCTGTGATTGTCAACATTGTCCAGCTACAGTAATTAGACTCCTTGTGTCAACAAGGAGTGTCAGGCCCCCTGGTCAGTAAACTTAATCCTGGCTCGTCTTCAGAAAAGGTCGTGCAT